GTATATTGAGTTTTGGCTACTAAAATCGTTTCGTCGCCGAATGAAAAATAAAAAATTATTTTTTACCTTTGCCGACCAAAATTTTGGTCACCAAAAGTTTATTTTCAGCGACAAAAAAGAATTTTGGTCGTCGTATATTGATTTTTGGCTATTAAACCATTTAGTCGCCGAATGAAAAATAAAAAATTATTTTTTTACCTTTTTTGGTCGCCAAAAGTTCATTTTCAGTGACAAAAAAGAATTTTAGTCGCCAAAGAACTAAAATTTTGGGAGGGAAACATTTCAAATATGTTGGAGGGATTTATAAAATATTTTCAGTGACTAAAAATATATTAGTCGCTATTACTCAATATTTGGCTGCAAAATATTTAGTCGTTCTTTATTGTTATTTGGCGACCAAAAATTTATTTAGTCGCTAAAGGTTGTAGTATTTATTTTAGAGGGAAACAAAATATTTTTGGCACCCGATATATTTACACTCGGTTCTATCTCTCACATACACACGCGATATACACTTCTGTCTCAAACACTACCAAACCTCACCCTCACTCACCACCTCGACTCACCACCGTCGCTCACCATCGCGGCCTCCTTTCCACCCACATTCAGGTTCCTTTATTTTATTTTTGATGCTGTAGGATTTTGATAAAATCATTTTAGGGTTTTACTCTTTTTCTACATTTGAAGCACATATGAGCTCCAAGTTGTGTTTAATTCCAAACTTTAGTTGCTCTATTTAAGCAATTGTGAAGAACTGCTTAAATTGCTGAGTAGAGTTATATGTGTATATATATATATATATATAGTAAAAAAATAATAAAATATAATATATATGAAATGTATTAAATTTTATATTTTTTTGAATTTAGTGATTTTTTTTTAAAAAAATTAAAAAGTAAAACATTATTAAAATTAAAATAAAATATTTCTTTTAAGTATATATAAATTATTTGAATTTGAAAAGTAAAAAAAAATTATTTAAAATATTACAATAACTAACACAAAAAACTGAAAAACAATCGATCTCTCTCTCTCTCTCTCTCTCTCTCAACCCTCTCTAAACCCTAATCTCTCTCAACCGATCGAATCAGCCTTCTTCAGCCTTGATTTGATCTCAAAGCGATTGGTGATTCATCTCAGATCCAATCTTAGAGTGATTGGCAATTTCGATTTTGAGATTCCGAAGCTCCACCGCCTCCACCATCTGCACCGGCGAGGGAAGCAAGGACCATCGTCTACTAAGGTGAGCACCACCGTCTCTCTCTCTCTCTCTCTCAATTTCGTATTCTCATTCTCTCTCCCTCAAGCTCTTCCCGTCGAGTTTGAGCAATTGGTTTTAGAATTCAGTTCGGTTTGATTGGTTCCTTCTATGTATGAATTACTAGTCAAATTGCTTCAGAATAGCGCTTTGGTGGCCATTTGTGATATTTTCTCAGTCAAAAATTGGGAAATTTGGTACTCACATTTATCCTGATATAGAATTAACCTCTTTCGAATTTGTTACATAAATTTTCCTTGTATCTCTGTGAGGTTGCAGTTTGATATAGGATGTCTTCAGCAACTGCTTTAAGAGGAATGGTTTTTTTTATATGAATGAGAATGATTCAAGTATCATATATGCTTGTGGATTTTACTTCAATTTGTGAAATAACAGTTTTATGGTAGCATTTATGTTACACTTAGAAAAAATATAGAAGCTGTGAAATGGCTCGTTGTTTTGTATATTTGATTGTGTTCGAAGAAATCAAATCGCCAGATGTCAAAAATGAACATCTATCACGTTGGTTGTTAGAGTTGTACTGGTAGATCAATATGAAATCATATACTATCCCATCTGTATTGGTCAGCCAGTATGTTCTCAAAATGATAAGAGAGATCTACTGGTAGTTTGTCATTTTGAATAAAATAAAGGGGAAATACCAAAAACAAATACTTAGGTTTGACTCTTAAACCAATAATAACTCTCCTCTTTGGCTCTAATCTTCATTTTGATCAATCTGTCTGGCTTATAATAGAAACAAAAGATATGTCTAACAAGTCTTATAATAGAAACACAAATACAAAGGAAGCCATGTGCCATAACTCTTAAAAAGTTTACTTCACTTTTTGGCGACCTCATTATTAATTGAAAGAATTTGCAAGATTATATGATCAAATCTATGATAATAGAATCTTCAAGATACCACTATTACATTGCAGGATGCATAGAGTAATATGAGTTTCTGGTTTTTTTAAGATGTCTAGTTGTAAATTTTGGAAATGAAATCAAGTCAGTGTAAGTGAAATCAAGTCAGTGTAAGTGAAATCATGAAGTGCAAAGAGCATCACTTTGTTTAAGTGTACCATAAGCAATTCTTCCCTGTGAATAATTAGATTCAGCTTTTCTAGGCAAAAGTCAGGAAGCTGGTTGAGGATGATCACTTGCTAGAAGTAGTTCTTGTTTCTCTGGGTACTGCAAAGCATTTTATTGCAGAACTTGAGGTGATGGTGAGAGTATGAAGAAGTAAACACAACCAAAAGAACAATTGATGGTTGGGAAGATGTCTCTGGTTTTTTTTTTTAACAAGAAACAAAAGATATTATATAAAATAACAACTTAGTACATAGTTGAAGTTTAGATACAAATCTTAATCGAGAAGCTTTGGACACATCCAATAACAAAAAGGGGCAAAAACATAGGTGCCGTATTTATTTTTATATCTAAGGATGGAGTGACATTAGTTTATTGTAATAATCTAACTCTATTAACTTACTAAATGTTCTATCGTGTGACCCAAAAAAAGAAAAAAGAAAAAAAAAAACAATTTAGACCGAGTGTTGAACAAAAAATTCTAAATAAGAAAAAAAAAATATAAACTACTTTTTTATCTCCCAATTTTAGCCTAGACATTGTCAATGGGGACAATAATTATTTGAAACTTTACCTATGAAAGGTAAGATTAAAATGAAAGTGTAATGCAACATACTACATTTGCATAAGAGATTCAGAGGCCATGTGGTTTGCACTTTAGATGATCCCAAAATGATTAATAGAAAAATAAATCATTTATTACTTTTGTTTCTTTTATTTAATTCATTTTTCTTGTGAGAAAAGTTCATGTATGAAAACTAAGTTGTGTTCTAAGTAGCACGGACACGGACACGGGACACGATACGGACACGACACGGACACGCGGATACGCAATTTTTCAAAAAATGGGGGACACGACACGTTGGGGACACGTTTAATATATATAATTTTATTTATATATTATATGTAAAATTAAAAAATATATACTAATTTTATTTATTTATTTTATTTATTATATGTAAAATTAAAAAATAAATATATTATTTGTATTTATTTATATTATTTAAGACCAAAAGAAAGGTTAGGGGTTATATTATTTATTTATTTATATTATTTATTATTAGTATATAAATATATATATATATATATGTATATATATTGTTAGTATATAATTCACATGAAGTAAGTAAAACGAGAACAACTAATTCTTTGGACTCAGTCCACATGAGATGAGGCTAGTCCTACAAACTGGACAGACATGAACTAAATGGGCCTGTCTGAAAAGAGCCCGGGGGGTCAAACGAGGGCGATCGATGGTCGATCGAGGCGCAGAGAGGGAGACGAGGAAGGCGAACAGGTTAGGGTTTCTTCTCTCTGTCCTCAATCTGTCTCTCTCTTCCCTCGACCTATCTCCCTCTTTCTCTCTTCCCTCGATTTGTCTCTGTCTCTGGCTCTCTCTCTTTCTCCTCTCCAACAGTTCTAGGGCTTCTTCGATCCACCCACCTACGTGTCTGAATCGTGTCCTCGCGTGTCCAACCTCGTGTTCGACTCTGAAAAATTTTGAAAAAAGAGGGACAGGTAGGGGAGAGTGTCGGACACGTGTCAATAGCGTGTCGTACGCGTGTCCGTGTCCGACACGTGTCCGACACTAATACGCAAGCCTCAAGGACGTGTCCGTGCTTCATAGGTTGTGTTATGTGAATTAAAACTTTAAGAGAATCCAAAGTAATTATGTTAAAATTGTGGAATTTTCTATATTTTCTCAAAACAAGAGGGGAGGTCAATGCAATACCCAGAAAGAGTCTTTGTTTTTTTGTTTTGCGATATTTTTGTTTTTTTTGTTTTTTTTTCTCATTAAATTGCTTTAAATTGCTTTTTCCCCTCTTCTTTCATTGGAAATGGACTCATTTACTTGGGTTTGGATCCAGAGATTACATGTAGCTCTAAGCATTACTGTGCTTGCGAATTTTGAACTATCATTTATTTGTTGTATTTAGGTTGTTGGAGAATCTCGAACAAAGGAGGAATATTTTTGTTTCGCGGAACACTACTGTGCTTATTATTCATTTTTCTATGACATTGTAAATAGAGGAGAACAGCTTTGTGTGAGTTTGGCATACTTTCTTGACAATTATTTCTGTTTTGCTAAATCCCTTGTTTATTTATTTATTATATTTTTATTTTATGTTTTGATAATTTCTTTTTGTTTCCCTTCCTTTGCCAGTGTAAGCATCAATTAGCTGCAAGACTTGCAGCGTCGCTAGGAGCATGTGTTGATGTCAAGGTATCTGATAAACAACTAGCTCTTTTGCTTTCCAAACTCTGACACTTCAATGGAAGCTACAATTTGCATTTAGAGTTGAAGAGGTAATCAGTAAGCAAATTATATCTGGATAGATTTATCAATTATGTCTTAATGCTTTTGTTTCCAGAACTGCTTTGGGGAGTTCGAATTTCAGTATATGCTTGATTGTGTATTTAGTTTTAACACACGTCTCAAATTTAATTCTAAAACGCGTCTCAAAATTTAATTCTAACACGCGTCTTAAAATTTATATCACGGGGTATAAATATATGCTTTAGTTTCAGTATATGCTTGATTGTGTATTTAATTCTAAAATGCGTCTCAAAATTTAATTCTAAAACGCGTCTCAAAATTTAATTCTAACACACGTCTTAAAATTTATATCACAGGGTATAAATATATGCTTTAGTTTGGATTTAGGCTCCAAAGTTGTCTGAGGGTTCTAACATGATGGGAAAAACCATACAACTTGTTTTCTCTCTCTTCTTTTTCTTTATAGTTATTACAATAATTTCCTTGAGAGGAACGGCCATGGCACAGAGCACAACAAACATAACAACAGTCCAAGTAAAGGTAGGAGTGGTTCTTGACATGAACACTTGGGTTGGTAAGATGGGTTTGAAGGGTATCTCCATGGCCCTCTCTGTAACGCCCTCAAAATAATAACATTAATCCCATCAATATAGACATGCATTGATATATAAAAACTCCACATTCTTCTATTCATCAGAGTTCCATTACCAAAAAGTATTACATGTTAACGACAAAAGCAAATGCCCTAAAGGCTTACAGCTTTCCAAGTTAACACTTGGTTACAACAAAAGAGTGCTAACTCATTTACACATTAAGCCCTTGGCTTGAATATACATGTAATACATCAAAAAAAAAAAACAACAAAAGTCTCCCCGCCTCTAGCCTCCCAAGCTACGTCCTTGGAGGTGGCATGCTACCTGTACCTGAAAATGATATTCCCATATAGGGTGAGCCACAGCCCAGTAGAAATATACTAAACCAAATATGAACAATGACTAAAAGATTAGCAATTGATAGATGGTCAACACTGATACTTTCCCTTATCACACTTTACAGTTTCATGACATACAAGTCCATGTTACAATCCATTTTCCAATTCCTTTCAATTCTCAATTTATAACTATGGCTCAGAACCTAGCCAAACAACTCATATGAGACAGTAACTCATATTAAGCATTTTCCCATTTCATAATAGATAAGCATACTAGCTATATCATACACCAACAGATAAGCATACAAGCTATATCATCACTTCCATAGATATGCATAAGAGCACTATCACACTTCCAAAGACAAGCATATGAGCTCTGTCAACACATTACTAGATAAGCATATGAGCTCTATCTATGGAGTCCATCTCCTATCTTCTCCCAACAACATCCGATTTAGAGGTCCATCCCCTATCTTCTCCTAAACCGTGGAGTACATCCCCTATCTCCTCTAACACGACACAACGCATATAAACAATAATTGTACACATCATCACACAACACATAAATTTAATGTATTCTTTCAACCGTCATACTCAATGACACATTCCAGTGATTATTTTCAGTTTGCCTAATCATCATGCATTGTCTACAACAATCAAGACTATCCTCCACCGATAGCCCAAAGCAGTTATTTCTATACAGAAAATAAATGCAACAATGGATATATACAATCAACATTTCAACCAGATGAGTGATAAATAATCCAACTATGCCTTTTAATTCCATACATTTCCAAATCAATTGCTCATTCCTCATAATTAATTATGCGAATTAATTAACCAATGTAATTAGGGCATATTCCATAATTAATATTACAACCCTTAGGTTCCATTTTCATTAATGTCTTAACATTAATTCGCTTTTCTATGCCAAACATGCATCTAGGTTTTTATATAGTTAAAACCCCAACATTTGTAAATTTACACAAAAGCCCCAAACTTTCACAAAATTACCAAACCAACCCCAACATCTCAAAATACTAAAATTTAAAGACAAAGCCCATAGTGAGGAGTAGGTTATCCCTACCTCAAAAGATGACTCCCAACCAAGAAGGTGAAGAAAACGAAAATGCTCCAAATCACGAATTTCCCGGATCAAAAGATAGCCCTCGACGATCAACAACCTTTTTGTAAAGGCCAAATGTGAGGGAATCACTCCTACTAGATCAATACCTAGAGAGAAGTCAAAGCTCTAGAGTGAGAAGCTCAACAATGGTATTTTTGG